GGCTGATCGCTCCCGCACCGCTTCCTGAGCTACGGGCGCCCGCAGGGGCTGCGGTCCTTGCTGTGATGTGTGCATGCGATGGCTCTGCGCGGCGTTCACAGAGCCGCACCTCACCCACGCTGCGTTCTTTTCGCCACAGTCCCGATTTAACCCCTTATCCCATAACAGCTTCATCTTTCCCTCCTCCCCTTGTATTTTTGACCTGAGAAAGGCTCTGCAATGCCTCTTCTGACTCAGCCGTGGGTGACATCTCCTGGTGTCCGCCCTATTTGCTGTTCTCTTTGAATCTTCCTTTCAAGCATCCTTTCCTTTAAGACCTTCTAATCAGTCCTCTCTTACAGGCGGTGCTTCACCAGTTTTTCTCCCATTTTCCTCGCTTTGTTTTCCTGTGATGATCTCAAGAAGGATAGGATGCCACTGTTCTGTACTCTTATCTGCCATCTCATCGCTGCTGCCGAGCTTCTTCAGTCAGAGCTCCCCTGCCCCGGCTGGAATTTCTTGTCTCCGCTGCTCCCTTCTTGAGCAGCCTCTCGCTGTGACTCAGATTCCTGTATAGCAACATCAGTTTAGGCAGTGATGACTGTTACTCTCGGGTCTTTTTATTTGCTTCCTTTGGGCTGTGTTGGGGTTGGCAGGAGCACCTGGCTCCGTGCAGCCTGCTTTCTGCTGACTGTAACCATGAGGACGAGTGGCGGAAATCTCTCCCCGTGTCTCAAGCAGATCTCTGAGCGGGGCAGGGGATGGCACCGTGGTTGTTGGAAACCTTTCACCACAGTTATTACCTTTTCCTGTAGATTGCAATTACATCCTGCAGCAGAGATTGACGTCTGCGTGGTTACCATTGGGAGCAGCGCTGTCGCTCTTCGTGCCCACAGCTGGCATTTCGTGGGGCGGAAACCAATGCTGAGCTGTGTGAGGAGCCCCAGGGGCACCCAGGGAGTAAAGGGCACCAAACCTCAAGCCTAGCATGACACATCAGCACAGCGCCTCGATGTGTTCTGCTTTGTTTTTGTGACAGACGTGCAACAAATGGGAACCTCGGTGCTGTGTCTGCCTATAGCTGTGTCCTTGCAATACCTTAAATCATTGCCCAAACCATCTTTGTTCTTTGTAAGCTCTTTGTATGCTCGCGATGTGATGATCTGAAGGAGACTGCAGGTTTGCCAGGGTTTCCAAGAACAGTGAGTCTGTCAGGGGCAGGAGAAGGATCAATTCTGGTGCTTTTAAGCCAAACTGGTGTTGCTGCTAAAAGAGAAATGAAGATAGATAATGCTTCTTATTTTTGTGACTGTGTGATCTGACTCCATGCAAGCTTAATCTCAAGCTTGGTTTGAACGAATGGTGAAAGTCAGCGAGTTTAAATCTACATATTCCAGAAAACCACAATAACCCCTCTCAAATCTGCCAAGCCCTGTAATTTCTGCCTCAGAAATAGTTCACCCATCTGCTCTTTCAGTGTACAATGTTTTTTCAAACAAGAACTTTGCTAAGTTTTATTTTTATTAGACATCTTCACGTTAGGAAATTACTTAGGATTAGAAGTCGTTAGAAAATACTTAGTATGCATCAGACAGGATTCCACTGGAAAATGTCTTTGTCACAAGTTTTTTCACCAGCTGCACTCTATAACAGTTTTGCACACCAGCCACACACACTTTGGGCATACGGTTAATCCTATTAACTTCAAGTGTTTAGAGGATTAAGAGACTTAACTGCAGTCTATCTGCAGAGGTCAAACATCAAAGACTATTCCAAGCCCAAGTTTTAGCTTTCTCAGGATGAGTAATATATGTGTAAGTTATCCTTTCCTCTTTTCATCCATCACCCTTTCTGCACTAAGTTGTGTGGGTATACTAGTAAAGCCTTTATTAGATAAACTGGATCATCCTAATGTCCAGCAGATGGGTCCCTAGATCATAAACCATTTAGATGTCAGCAGAACTGGCAGTATATGCTCAAAAGAAGCCTGGAACTTGGAAAACACAGGTTTGAATGAATAGAGTTTAAACTGCATTGTGCCAGCCTACATTATAGCTACTTTGGATTTAAATTATTGACTTCTAAGATGTTTTCCTAATGATATATTAAACAGAAATGGAAAGCAAGAGTCTCAGGATGATAATTAGCTGGTATCCACAGTGTGTAATTTAGACTTCTAACTTAGGTGTCTTTGGCTCTAAATAGGAATATCAGCAAAATCGCTTTGGGAAGTGTCTCCTTCCTTCCCAAAAAGCAGGGTCAGTCATGTTGAGGTAATTTCTGACATAAACGTGTCCAATCTGCACTTGAAAACTAACAAAACAGGGCTGTCATACCCCATAGTAATCTTTCCCTCTGTTTCCATAACCGCACCATGAGAAAGCTGTTTCTAGCCTGTAACCCAGATCTCTGATGCCCACCGAGCCTTTTCAGCAGATGTTAGGGATGCCCTGCCACATCTCCCCCTTCCTTAGGACAAACCACTCCTATTCCACCAATGTTTCCCCACAAGACCTCTAATTCTCTATTCTAGCCAAAGCAGAGTACAGTACACCAATGGGATGTTTACCAGCCCCAAACATAACAGGAGAATGACTTCATCTGCCTGTCAAACGCTCTTCCTTTTTATATACCCCCTGGTGCTGTTTGTTGTTTTTGTTATGGCGTGACGTGGCTGACTCCTGTCTGCTTTGTGACCCACGCTAACCACCAAGCGTGTTTACATTGTGATGCCACCAGACCAGTAATTCCACAACCTGCATCTGGGATGTTGGTAATTCTGCCAAGAGCAAAGAGTGAAAGCATGTCTTTTGAGTTATTTCTTCCCCCTGACCATACTTTGCCAAGTTCTACAGCAGTATCCTACAGCACTTGCTGCTCCTCCCAGCAGTGGGTTTGCTAAGCAATTTTTCTTTTACACTATCCAAATTATCCAATGAAAATAACCCATTGGTGCTATGGGAATACTGCTGTAGAATTCTGCTCGATATGTCTGGCCAAGTTAACAATGTGTTCACCCAACCATGCACTCTCCCATTCCAGACTTTCTACAATTTGCTTGTGAGACCACCAGTCCCATGTGACAGTGCTGCAAATCCTCCTAAAAACAAGATATCTGCACCTGCTTTTCTGCTAGAAACACTGCTACCTAGTCAATGGGAAATGAACTCATTTGACAAGATTTGTTCTAGACAATGTAATCTCACTCATATATTTGCAATCTTTTAGGTACTCAAAGGTGTTAGTGGAAAGAGGTTTAACTGGAGCAGTTCATTGTTTAATGACTCAGCTGGACATGGGAGGGCACAGCTACCTTACATGGAACGCAAGGGAATTCAGAGAACACGAATTCGTGTGTGTGATCTAAAATTATTGCCAATCTAAAATGTTACTTTTAAATTCCTGCATTTGGGGGACAGAAACAAGATGCCAAGAAACAAACTTCACTGGTCTTTGAGACAGATTTCCAAACAACTGCCTTGATTTGTTTTAGGACAATTGCAAGTGCACACAAATTGTGCCTCACCCAGCAGTCAGCCATGCAGCGCTCTGAGTCTGCATGTGAGCATTAAAGTCAGTGGGTGGACTCCATCACAAGGATGAAGAACTGGGTCCTGTGGACTACCTAGTACATAAGGACACTACTGATGAAAGTCCACCTTAGAGAGAAAAGAAAGAATGAAATCAGATATGCCAGAACTAAAGGATGATGATTCTGAGTAAAACAGCTGAAGGAATAGCTGTATTTGCAGTGTTCTCTTAGCTGTAGATGAAATAAGAATAGGAAAAAAGAAAGCTATTATGTTTAATTTAGTTGCTTAGCTTATTTAATAGTTTAGTTACCAAAAGTATCTTGTTGCTTAAATATGTCAGAAAGTCCACAAAAAGAAGCATACAGGAAATAAAAAAATGCCTGTAATACATGTTACGTGCATATATAGAGCACCCACCAGCCCATGTCACTGCTCACCAGTTTGTTCTTTCTACTAAAGGGAGCAAAGAAACACGTAAGGTATAAGAATTAAGAACAACGATGGATATTAGAAAGGTGAAGTTTAGAAATTAAGGCGCTGACCCATCTAGCCTCCATGAGGACCTTTCCTCCTTGGTTGAGTTGGGTTTGAGAAGGCAGATGGCGCTGGTGCCTTTATTATAGCAGCAGCCGGAGCCTGCAATAGGCGGCGATGTTGCACAATTGCACGTTCGAACAAGCATCTGTGACCCTTTCCTCGTGCCAGCCGCTGTTGTTCGTGCTGGCTGCTTGACAGGAACTTTTGTATACAATGTCTTGCCTTGAAAGGCTCTGCATCGCTTCACCGGGGATTTCGAACCCTCCAGAGTCTCCAAGGTGGGGATCTTTCCACAGAGAGCTGCTGAGAGAGAAAAAAAAGAGCATACTGAAGGTTTATCTATTCTACTGCGAGTATTCAGCACTCTTTGCAATCATACATGCCCGTGAATCTGAGAAATATGTGTTTGCCACATGCAGTTGCAGATGGTTGTGGCATCTGAAGTGGATCAAATAGATTGTACATTTTCTCATACTGCTTTGGAGCCAAAGCATCTTCTTTGCAACTGAAATATTTGGATTTATTTCCCAAACAGTGCTGAGAGCCTGACTGGAAGGTCTACACCAGGACCATGGCATTCCTGAAAGCCGGGATCTTGGCTGATTTTACAGATCTGTAATATCGTATATGCGAAAATAAAAATACAATAAGCTGCCAAATGAAAGCAACCTAAAAAATAAACTGCTTCTTGTTACACCTCTTAATCTTAGCCTCTTTTCTCTTAAAGAAACTCATGCCCAGATTACCAAGTCCCCACATACTCCAATACTAACAAACCCAATCTCTTTTGTATATAATTACAGAACAAGGTGCAGAATCAAGAACACAACATACCTTCACCTCTCCACCAAATTGGAGTACTACATTCAGTATTTCCACTGCTAATGTTTAGCCAATGTACCCAAGGATGATGCAAAACAGCCTAGGTAGAGTTTCACTCACTTTCTCATACAGACTGATCCAACCTTTCCTTTAATGTGCGTGAAGCTGGAGATGTGCCCTGCCACATACGTGCATGACTTGCACTGGTACAAGCCAGGAGCTGCTGTGCCTTCACCAGCTGGGCGCAGTCCTTCACACCTAGATAATGATAATAGAATCCACCAAGAGTCCCATCAAGGCAAATTAATCAGGTCCAGGGTCAAAACTATGCAGGTCAACTAATGGGCTTCAGGGTCCATCCAAGAGCAGCAGGAGATGAGACCAGAGGAAAGGCTGAGACAGGGCTGCAAAACAGTTCTGAGGTCTACCTTTGGCTACTGCTATAGGGCTGAAGACAAAGCTACAGAGTAGGTTCAAGGTCCACTAGGAGAGAGAGTTGGAGCCAAGCTGCCTTCACCTGGAGGCTCACCAGAAGGCAGCCTGAGGTTTTCCAGAGCCAGTCCTTGAGAAGCTGCACAGTGTATGCTGCAATCTTGGTGACCTGATTTTGGCCCATCTGCTCATGCCTCTCCTTTATCCCTTCTTGTTTTTCTTGATGATTTTGCACTTGTACATTGCCATTCATACTTTGTCCATATCAACCTTAATGTTTATCTGCGAAATTCCTAGGCTGTACAGTTGCATTAGAGAAGTCTTTATCTGGTGGCCAGGCTGTAAGCAGTTAGCTGCCAACTAACACTTCAGACATCATCAGGTAATGAATCAAAATGTAGTGCAGGCTGAAAACAGCAGAGTAAGGTGTTACCTGTGTGAAACAGAATGTAGCAAACAGCTTGCTGCCTCTGCTTTGAGCTCTGTCTTCTGACTGCAGCCCCCACACTGAGCTCTTTACAGTCCCCTAATCACACACGCAGTTTTCTCAGCATGGCTCTGAGTGGTGACAGGCAGTATTTACTATGCAGCTATAATTGTCAAAAATCAAGAGCATTGTATTTAAAACTAATGTAATACATTATTGACTGTCTTCCTCTGGTGAGTCTGGCATCTTGCAGTATGTTGAGCCTCGATGCAGGGTTGGTGGGCTTAGAAATAAAGAACGTGAGGTCATCTAAAGCAATGTAGTTTCAGTTAAGCAAACAGAAACGTATTTTCATTCCAGAATACCTTCAGCAAATCCCTTGGCTGCACATATTTAAGGTTTTATGCAACTGTTTATTAGCTGAACATATTTCAACCTCAGTTCTTCACGTTCATCTCAGATTTCCTGGAAGGGCTCTGTAATTTGTAGAGCTCATTGCATTCATTTAGTGCAACTTTGAGAAATGAATAAAGTGCGGCGCTGCAATGAACGATGCTGTCACTGCCTTCTCCAACAAAAATATCCTCTCAACAATTTTTTATCTAGATAACCCACCATTTTATCCCTGGCACAAAAAAAAAAAAAAATCGGAGAGGAAAGCAATCCATTTTGTCTGAGCATACCTTGGTAAATCTAATTCCATCCCAATAAATGAGCAGTGCAAAGAGGATTGGAGCTTACCATGAAATACTGAAATAAAGGTCAGATTTGTAGGAAGCATAAATCAACATTCTTGTGTGGCTTAAGTGGATTTATGCCTATTTATTCTAGGCAAGAATCTGGCTCATTACCACTGGATGAACTACAAATAGACCATCAAGCAGGAGTTTGAGTTTTAATACTGATTTCTTTGACTTTGTTAGCTTAAATCAGTTTCTAAATATTTGCAAGACTTTATTCATCTAAACTGAGAAGGAAGTTGGTCTCTGCAAGTTGGATATATTCCCTCCCTTGAAAACAAGCTTTTGAAACAGGATCTGTGAGGAGTTATTAAACAGCTTGAGCAGAATGAGTTGTCAGCTTTTCTAATCCATACACCTCAAGTTTCAAAATGCAGCCTTTAGGGCAACATAAATAACACAAAATCAGCCGATCGATCATTCAAGGTTGAGGTGCTTTGGTGGCACTCAGCAGCAGATGATATGGTGTTATAGACTCATTCCCTTCTGAAGCACTCTCCTCCTGATAGTGCCACGTGAATATTTAGAATCATAGAATGGCCTGGGTTGAAAAGGACCACAATGCTTATCTAGTTTCAATCCCCCCTGCTACGGGCAGGGTCGCCAACCACTAGACCAGGCTGCCAGAGCCACATCCAGCCTGGCCATGAATGCACCCAGGGACAAATTTCAAAAGCATGCAGCACATTCAGAAGCATGCAAAGTGAAGCACAAGTGAGCCAATACTGGGATCTGTGCAGAACGGCGGGAGGATTCAAATAATAATCTCAGGGTTTTACATTCACCGAATTGGAGCAGGTGTCCCACATTTGTGGATGGCTTCAGCTAGCCAAGCTGGCAGCGCAGAGAGAAGAAACCTGGCCAGCAGCACTGGCTGTTTCATCGTCCCTTATTTGTGCTGGCACCGGTGTTTGTACAATTGCGCAATGAATCCGGCTGGGGACCATTCAGCTGACAGCAAACCCAACAACAACAGCAGTATGTTAGTTCCCCTGAGGCCATAGCTTTCAGCAGAGCAGCCAGGCTGTTCACTCAACTCTGCCCTCTCAGTGGGCTGGAGAAGAAGGTTAAGGTCACTGTTCTTCAGAAGGACAGCTACCTGCCATTTTCCCTTTAAATGGGCTCAAGTGCAGCTGGGACAATGAATTCCAGGCTTGAAGTCCTGACTGTCTGGCCCTCAGCAGGGCTGGAGGGAAGCGGGGCATGGATGCACAGGAGAAAAAAACTGGGCCACAGGAATATGCCTGGTGGGCAAAGGGGAGATCATGGACTGAGCTACTCACTGCAGGAGCTCTGCCCTGAGACCTGGGTTCTGGCAAAGTCAGATTTGCTTTGTGAAACCCCCAAAATGCTCACAGTTGCTTTCTCTTTCTTTTTTTAATCCTTCCTTTTTTTTTTTTTCCTGTTTTTTTTCCTTCTTTTTTCCTTGGTTACCAATTGATGAATCATGAATGCTTTTCAGCTGTGCCATTATCTCAATTTCCTTTGCTGTTACTAAGGTTGTCTCACTTTGAGAGGGCTTCCCCTCTCAACTTGATTTCTATAGCCAGATCCTTTAGCCTCTAGCAAAGTCAAACTCTTAGATATCATTTACTGCCACAAAAAGTGGAAAATCCTAGAGTTTCCTGCACATAGCTAAGAACAGTGAAGAAAGCCATTATTTGAACAGAAACCTTGTTTCTTTTTTTTTCACTAGTAAAACTGTTCAAAGCATTTGAAAAACACCACACACATATATGAGCAAAACAAGATTGTGCCAGAATTGTACGATTATATCCCAGAAACTTAAAGGCAGAGCTGTGCTGAGCAGGCAGGAACAGCCTCTTTGCCCACCTGATCCACCTTTCAGATGAATCACAAAGCAGAGGCCACTGCCGCTAACAGATGTCACATATCTCACAGTATTTCCCATGACCACAGAAGTTTTAGCCTGCATGACTTACTTAGCTAAGGCTGCCATGAGTTATTCTGTTTCCCTTGTTTAAATTCCCTGGCAGTTTTCAGTTCAGTTAGTTAAACAAACCATCATTTCCTGTCTCAAATGTCAACCATTGTGGCCCAGGCCTCCCTAAGGATCTGCACTGCCTTCAGATCAGCTGCTTCACAATCTGAGCACATTCTGCTCCTTCTTTAAAGCATTCTCTGTGCTTTTTTACAGGAGGACTTCCCCCATAGAGGAAATCCAGGCTTCGGTAAATATAATGGGCAAGACATCTCCAGCATCAGAGGCATTGGAGGAAGCATTGCATCTGCGGCACCGAACCTTGGATTCAACAAGACTCAGATCGTGCCACTCAAGGAGACATCCTTTGGATGGGGTTTCAGACACTGGAGGGGCATGGCAAAGTGCTGTCTTATTGGTAGTTAGAGGCCTCCACCACATCACAACATTTATTTTGGCCCGTATTTCTAGGCTACTGCCCTATGCAGATTTCTGCACTTTTGCTTTTTGGTCAACAATCCTGAAATCTCCTGAAGATAACTTTGGACTTTCCACTACAGGTGAGGTCAGGGCTCCTTTATCAGGCAAACTGCTGACCCGACAACAAGCTGCAGATTGCTGCCCATTTTGTGACTGCAGATACACAAATTTAACTCTTTCCTGTGAACTGGTATACTGGAGGCGAGGAACCGATACCCGCTTTCCTGGTAAATGATATCTGAGATAATGATCTCATATACGTTGTCAGTGTTGTCAGTGCTAATCAGCATTCACTAAATAAATGCCACATCCTCCTGAAGCATTGCTGTGTTGGAGCAGCAGAAGGATGGATACCATCCCCCTTTGGATCCAGTGCCAGTATCTGATGTCAGCTTCTCACTCCTCAGCAATCTCCCACTCTACTATCTCAGCAGCACTTGGCTTGGCAGGTCAGCAACCCTCCCAATCTCAATTCAAACCCACAAGCATTTCTGTTGGGAGCAAAGGGCACTGATTTATTTGTGTGTTTGGAAATGTGATATAGAAGCGGGCAGCATTAGTCAGACTGATAGTGACTCCCATCCAATGCAACAGTAATACCGGACTCCATCTTAAGCAGGGGGCCATCTGTCTATTGAATGTTTTTGTAATGACCAAGTACACAAAAGTCCCAGGCATAGATTCTTCTGTGTGTAGGGATCTGAGCAGTGCTCAGGGCCCTGGCCACACAGCTAGGCAGCTCTTGCTCCCAGTGGCTCAGAGATCTCTGCCCAGGGGTTTCTTCTCAGCCTCTTCCCCTTATAAACTGAGCTCGTTTTCCACTTCCGTGGTAGAGTAAGGAAGTCTTGTGTCCATAGAGAAATCACTGAGCTTGGTTGCCACAAGAATCACATCTGCCTAATGCTTACCTTAAGATCCTTTCTGTATGAATGGTCTTTGTGACAAGCACAGTGCAGACTAATTGTGATGGCTTATTTATACAGACACGCGTCCAAAATTAAAGGTCATATTCCAAGGTCGTTAGTGAGGCAAAGCTCTTAGCCAAGTGTGTATTTCACAACTTAGCCCATACTGGGTAACTGGTTTGCCTGTGGGAAACCTCTCAGATTTGCACAGAGATATGTGAATAATAATTGGCTTAAAACCTATCATTACTGAGACTTCTGTCAGGTGCAAAAAAACAAACAAACAAACCAAAAGCATGTCTTTCCTCATATCTATACAAACTCTTCCCCCA